AGATAACCGATTCGTGTACAACCGAATCACCACCACACTACTCACCGGAAGAAGAGCTTGACAACAGAACGCCTCGCCGTGAGCTACTCCAGCCGAATCCAACGTACGCCGCCATCGCTCAAAGTGAACCGTCCGGCCAAGACACCTGGTTCTTGGACAGTTGCTGCGGGCAACACATGTGCTCGTCCGGGCGTTTCGTACAACGCGAACATCGACTCCAACGGGAAGTAATCATCACGGTTGCCAACAACCAAAACCTGCGCACACGAAGACAAGGAGTGGTACAACTTCAGTCAAGAGAAACAAACGTCATACTGCACATGTCTAAGGTACTCATCGCTGAAGGACTCGGCTACAACTTACTGAGCGTTAGCCAGTTGATGGCGAAAGGAATTCATCTGGAAGCCGACAGCACGACCCAGGAGTTCAAGCTTTACCACGGGAGAGGCGGTCTCTACATCGGAAAAGCAGTGCTGAAGAACAACGTCTTCGTCCTCGACTTCGTTCCTGACCTCGGCACTGCAGACAGCGACGCCATCGTGAATTTCACTGATTGGACACACCCTCCGGATCTCGACCCCGACTTCAGCCCGGGAGGCTTCTGGTACTCGCACACCATTCCTGAAGCAGAACGAACACGAGCATTAGCAACAATTCGACAATCGGCAGCAGTAACAACATCGACATCAGCAGCAACAACATCAGCAGCAGTAACAACATCGGCAGCAGCAACAACATTAGCAGCAGCAGAAACAACGACACCAGTCACAGTCAACGAAGCACCACCAACACCCGCACAACAGCTGAATCCGACTCAACGTGAAGTCCACCGAAGCGCCAACCTCGTCGCCAGCTTTTACTCCAACTCCGACGCATATCAGCGTTCACCTGGACACCGCGCCTCTGAAGAGATCTGGCACGCACGAACAGGACATCCAAGCAACACGGTTTTGAATAACACGATAAGAGCAGGAGTCCTTGACAAAGATTCTCTACTTCTACCCGATGGCAGAGAACTCCAGAAGGCACGAGGGACTTGCCTTATATGTCCCGAAGCTGACTTACCTCATCGACCGTTTGCTTCACATCACAACCCGAGCGCTCCAGCGTACGCACCACTCGAAAAAGTCTACAGCGACATCCTCTACAATCGCGAACCAGGACAAGTCAACTACAACTACACCATCACCTTCATCGACGCCGCCACTCGATACGTCTGGCATCGCAACCTACCCAGCCGCGACATGGCACTCGCAGCATTCGCCGCCTGGCTACCGATAGCAGAGAGAGAGTCTGGAACACAACTAAAAAAATTTCAGTCAGACGGAGGTGGCGAGTACACCTCTCACCGCTTCAAGCAGTTCTTGGCGGAAAGGGGGATCAAGCAACTCCTCTCCCTTCCCTACGCACATCAGCAGCAAGGTGTTGCAGAACGACTGAACAGGACCCTGCAGAACAGCATGCGCAAACTGTTACGTGGCATGCGGCTACCCAACCACCAGTGGCCAGCAGCAATGGACCACGCTGTCATGCTGCACAACTTGTTGTCGTCGTCGTCACTCCCGAACAACGCATCACCGCATCTGCTGTGGACAGGGAAGCAGGGCAGCACGAAAATGTTACGAGTTTTCGGGTGCATGGTACAGTACAGACCCCCAGAAGCACGAGCGGGAAGATTTTCGCAACGGGCACAGTGGGGACTACACCTCGGCATCGAGAAAAATTACAACGCATGGAGAATCTTCGACGTCCACACAAAGGAAACAGTAGCAGCACGTGACGTGATCTTCTACGAAAGACTCACCCTTCAGACGTACCTCGCCAACTTGCACGAGAATCGGGACCTCACCAGTGGTTTTCGTGGTGACCGAGCCTTCGCATCAGCAGCGGATGAAGCAGACTGGGACGAGCAGAATGTTGACAACGCATCGGCAGAAGCCGGACCTCTCCCGTACTGCTCCGTCAACGTGCCCATGGACGAAGAAAATCCTCGCGACAGTAACAACGCCGAAGTCTTCTACCACTTCGCCGACACCGGTTACGTAACACCTGCAACCGTCAACACAAATGAAGCAGAAAGGATAGGACCGAATTTTGACCCTGATCCAGAAGCGGGAGACGAAGCAGCTTCTCCCGAGGATCCAGAACTCCCTCGATACTCACAGACTGGGCTGCAAATCCTCGGCCTCGTCACCGCAGTCCACGGGAACACACGCAGCTCGCTTCCTCAGGAGCCTGCAACGGTTCAGCAGGCTCTGGGGGGGGAACACAGGGAGAAATGGCGTGAAGCCATGGATAGAGAACTGAAGGCATTAGAGGAACGCAACACTTGGAAGGTCGTTCCCGTAAGCGTGGCATGGAACAAAACCATCCTTACCGGGAAATGGGTCTTCCGCATCAAGACGAAAGCAGACGGCACGATCGAAAAATTCAAAGCACGCTGGGTCGTACGTGGATTCGACCAAGAGCAAGGACGAGACTTCACCGAGACCTTTGCTCCAGTCAGCCGCCACACGTCACTCCGAATTCTCCTCGCCATTGCCGCCATGAAGAAGAAGAAGTTACGGCAGATCGACGTAGCGAATGCCTTCCTCTACGCACCTGTGGATGCAGAAATCTACGTCGAGCTCCCGCACGGTTCCCACGGCGAACCCAACCGAATCTGTCAACTACTTAAGTCGCTCTACGGGATCAAGCAAGCACCGCGACTGTGGCAGCAGTACCTACACGCCCGTCTCATCCGCATCGGCTTTAGTCAACTACCTCACGATCAAGGCATGTACCGCCTCACTAAGGGAAGCGACTACGTTCTCCTGATCGTCTACGTGGACGATCTCCTCTACATTGGGTCGACCGACGGCATCGCCACGTGGTTCGAAGGAGAGCTCCAGAAAGATCTCACGCTCACGGTCTCCTCCACCGTTACACAGTACCTCGGGCTCAACATCCGCGAAGAAGAAAACGCCATCTATCTAAGCGCCGAGAAATACGCCGACACCATCGCGAAACGCTTCAGCCTCACACCAAGCGCCATCTCCACGCCTTACCGCTATACATCAGGAACCGAGAAAGAACGAACTACTCTACTCAAGCCCGCCGGCATACGCGACTATCAGAAGAAGCTCGGATGCCTGCTATTCGCCGCCGTCACCTGCCGCCCTGACTTATCCTACTCCGCAAGTCAGCTCGCCACCTATCTCAAGAAGCCTGAAGCTGAACACCTGGCGGAACTTGATCGCGCTCTCCACTACTTCGTCAGCACCGCGACGATCGGGCTAACCTACCACAAGAGCGCAGCTACACCAACTAAGCTAATCGGCTACGTCGACGCCGATCACGCCGGCGACACCGACAACAGGCGCTCACGCACCGGCTATGTCTACCGCCTTGAGCCTATCGGTCCTATCTCCTGGCAGTCGAGCAAGCAGGAGTTAATCGCACTATCTTCAGCAGAAGCAGAATATATTGCACTCTGCTCAGCCACCAAGGAGGGACTTTACCTTCGCGAACTACTGGAAGAAGCGAAGCTAGCCGAGTTACCCAGCTTCACCGTGTTCTGCGACAACCAGTCAGCAATTCGCATCGCCAACAAAAACGGCTTCGCAAACAGGACGAAACACATCGCCCTGCGCTATTTCTTCGTGAAGGACGAGATAGAAAAGGGGAAACTCGATCTGTCATACTGCCCAACATCCGAGATGGCAGCCGATTACTTGACCAAGAAACTCGGAAAGCAGAAGTTCGAATACTGCATGATGCTGACTGGACAAGGCCACGTCACCAGCAGCGACACTCCAGAAGCGAAGGGGAGTGTTGGAAACAATAAGTCCTAAGTGCGCTTCTGTCGTATCAAAACCCAAGGCACCAAGCGAAGCAGTCCCAATCGGAGCATCGAGTCAACCTCGGAGGTTAGGGTAACCGCCTGGAGGTTACGAGAAAGTCAAAGGTCGCTGACCTTTGACTCGACAATTACAGCGCGACAGTTAAGGACACACAACTGACTCGCTACAGAGCAGTTGCCCGAGTCGCACTGTATCGAACCGCAACAGCAATACAGTTATCTACATATCTATTCGTATTCCCTGTACTCTTATATAAATCCTTGTATTTGCTTGTTTAATTCAATCAACTTTGCTCTCACACACCAGTGCAAGGTCGGTTCAAATTCTTCACTAAACGCTTCCGCTATTACAACTACTTCACCTAAAGTTATCCCTTGCAAAGATCCTAAGGGGCTATCTCAGCCCAACACCTTTCTCTCATCCTCCCTTCCTCTCCCCTGCCATTCCACTCGTCCCCCCTTCCTCTCATCCAACCTTTCCTCCCATCCTCCTTTCCTCTCATCCGCCCTTTCTCTCATCCGCCCTTCACGCTCTCATCCTCTCTCCTCCTCATCGTCTCTCCCTCTCATCCTCCATTCTCTCATCCACCCTTCTTCAGATCCTCCCTCCATCTCATCCCCTACCCCCGGGGGTCTCTCCTCTCCTTTCTCCCAGGTCGCTCCCCCCTTTCCCCCATGTCACACTTCCCGATTTTTCCTCACAGAGCACCTTATCATTCCCTCACAATGCACGCACCTTATCATTCCCTCACAATGCACGCACCTTATCATTCCCTCACAATGCACTACCCCTCCCTTCACTAAGACTTCCTCTCCCCTCCAATCCCTTTTATTCTCTTCGCTTCCCCCCCTTGCTTCCTCTAATTTCCCCCCTTGCTTCCTCTAATTTCCCCCCTTGCTTTCCCTACGTTCCCGCCTTGCTTCCCCTCCTTTTCCCCCCTGCTTGCCCTCACTGTTTCCGTGATTCGCGTCCTCTGTTTTTCTCTTGCCTACCCACCTGTTCGCCTGTGCTTGCCCTCTCAGTGTCCTTGTCATGTCCCCCCGTGTCCTCCTCTCTCCCCCTTGTCCTCCTCTCTCCCCAGTGCCCTCCCTTCTCCCTTCTCTTTCCCTCATGTACTACCCTCCTTTCCCTTATTTCCCCTCTCCAACCCCTCATTTCCTACCCTCTTTCCCTCTGTTTCCCCCTTTTCTTCCCCGTTGCTCTAGGTTTTCCCCCTTGCGCCTTCATTTCCCACAATGCTTCCCCTCTTTCCCCCCTGCTTCCCCCCATTCCCCCACCTCCTTCCCCTCGTTCCCTCCCCCTCCCCTCCCCCCCTCCCCCCCCCCCCCCCTGCTCTCCCTTGCCCACCTGCGTGCCCACTCAGTTTCCGTGTTGCTTGTCCCTGTTTCTCCCGCCCCCCTGCCCTTCTCCCTTGCGAGCTTTTCTTTGCAGCATGGAGCAACAAAGTACGATATGATTTTATTTTAGGCTACTGTGTGCCCTCGTGCCATCCGACGGCATATTACAACACATTGATACTGTACTCAAGTTTAGGTTCATGCTGCTGTCATGACAGCCTCTTAGTATTGTGTGTAGCCCTTTTAGAACCATATCCAAGTCAGGCGACAAGATGTGAACCTTTTAGAACCATTGTATGAGATGTAAATACACATTATAAAAGCATGCAGTATCAAGAAACAAGCTCGAGCCTTTGCTCCGTTTGAATCTGCTGGCGGTCCCTTTACGTGATGTAGCTCATCTGCGCCTTTGGGGTGATGAAAGCAGATGCGAGGTGAGGCGGCACACACGTCCATACAGTTTGTCTGAGCCTTGCGCCTTGCTCGTCTAGGATGGTGAGGGGATGGGGCCGGGCGGAGTGAGGGGATGGGACAGGGCGGAGAGAGGGGATGGGACAGGGCGGAGAGAGGGGATGGGACAGGGCGGAGAGAGGGGATGGGACAGGGCGGAGTGAGAAGATGGGACAGGGCGAAGTGAGGGGATAGGTCAGGGCGGAATGAGGGGATGGAATAGGGCGGAATGAGGGGATGGGACAGGGCGGAATGAGGGGATGGGACAGGGCAGAGAGGGGGCATAGGATAGGGCAGAGACGAGAGAGGACAAGGAAGGGAGGTGATGTTACACCCCCGGAATAGGCACCGGCGGAAAGGGGGAGAGGCACTGTGACGGCGTGGGGAGAGGAGATGAGAGGCGAGGGAAGAGGCGTGGCGAGAGTGACGGGAAGGGCGCTGTGACGGCGAGGGGAGAGGCGGCGCAGCGATGGCGACAAGAGAAGCTGCGACGGCGAGTGGAGAGGCGCATCCGAAGGTAAGGAGAGAGGGGGGTGAGGGCGATGGGAGAAGCTCTGCGATGGCGAGGGGCGTGCACTGTTTGAGCGAGATATGCACTGTGTTGGCTGACGAGAAATCCCTTGTGGCGCGTGGGGAGGGGTCCTCTCAGGTGGAGTTTGTAGGGAGGAAAGGGGGAACGAGGCAGAGAGGGGAGAAGAGGCAAAGGGATTAAGGCAGAGAGGGGGAACGGGGAAAAAGGGTGTAAGTGGTGGTGAGAGATTGGCAGATGAGGGACGAGATCCAGTGATTGGTTGGGCAAGGAGGCTCAAGACTGACCAGAGACAGGGATGACTCAGAAGCGGGAAGAGGGAAGGTCGGAAGGGGTCGCAGACTCGGGGAACACACAGTACCAATGGAGCGAGAGAGGGGCTACGTGAGCAAGTGAGGGAGCACACTGACACAGCACGCGGGGCAGTGACAAAGTGGGTACGACAGGGAGTACACGTACGGAGCATGCAGGGCAGAAGGAGCATGCGACGACGCCCTATCCGTCACTGATGCCAACTGGGACACCACTCTTTCCACACTGTACTCTCCTCTCCACCCTGCTGCTGATGTGGCTGATGTTGCTGATGGACCAAGAATCTGTGAACGCCCCCTGACTGCATGCTCCCTGCTCCAGTAACGTTTGGACACGTGTGAGGAGGAGAAGCTGCAGGCGGGCCCTCTAAGCCTCCTGGCCTGACAGCTTCTTTGGCAGTCTCCTCGTAAGGCAAGCCAGAAGATGGCGATGAGGAGCAGCCTAAACGGATAAGAGGTGGGGGTGGGAGGGAGGAGGGAGGGAGGGAGGGAGGGAGGAAGGGAGGGAGGGAGGGAGGGAGGAAGGGAGGGAGTGAGGGAGGGAGGGAGGGAGGGAGGGAAGCAGGGAAGGAGATAGGGGGAAGCAGGGAAGGAGATGGGGGGAAGCAGGGAAGGGGATGGGGGGGAGCAGGGAAGGGGTTGGGAAGAAGCAGTGAAGGGGATGGGGGGAGGCAGGGGAGGGGACGGGGGGAAGGAGGGAAGGGGACGGGGGGGAGCAGGGAAGGGGAAGGGGGGAAGCAGGGAAGGGGATGGGGGGAGGCAGGGGAGGGCATAGGCGGAAGGAGGGAAGGGGATGGGGGGAAGCAGGGAAGGAGATGGGGGGAAGCAGGGATGGGGATGAGGGGGAGCAGGGAAGGGGATGGGGGGAAGGAGGGAAGGGGATGGGGGGAAGCAGGGAAGGAGATGGGGGGAAGCAGGGATGGGAATTAGGGGGAGCACGGAAGGGGATGGGGGGAAGGAGGGAAGGGGATGGGGGGAAGCAGGGAAGGAGATGGGGGGAAGCAGGGAAGGGGATGGGGGGGAGCAGGGAAGGGGATGGGAGGAAGCAGGGAAGGGGATGGGGGGAGGCAGGGGAGGGGAAGGGGGAAGCAGGGGAGGGGAAGGGGGAAGTAGGGAAGGGGATGGGGGGAGCAAGTCGGAGGATGGTGGGAAGCAGCGCAGGGGATACGGGGAAACAGGGAAGAAGGGAAGGGTGTATGTGCGGGTTGGAAAGGGGGCGTGACACGTGTGCGAGATGGGAAGGGAGAAGGGAGGGATGGCAAGGGCAACGAGGAGTTGAAGGGAGGGCGACGGGGGGAGAAAGAGAAAGAGAGCGTGAAGGGGGAAAATGGGTGAGAAATGGGGAAAGCGGGGTGAGAACAAGAGGAGTGAGCAGAGGGAAAGAGAATGAGGCGGGGGGAAGCGAGTGAGCAGGGGGAAAGAGAGTGAGTGGGGGGGGGGGGAGAGAGTGAGCAGGGGGGAAAGAGAGTGAGTGGGGGGGGGGGGGGGAGAGAGTGAGCAGGGGGAAAGAGAGGGAGCAGGAGAGAGTGAAAGGCAATGGGAGGGGAAGTGAAGGTGACGGGTGGGGAAGCGAGTGTGACGGGCGGGAAAGCGAGTGCGGCAGGCGTGGAAGGCGACGGGAGGGGGAATCAAAGGCATCGGAGGGGAGAAGTGAAGGCGACGGGAAGGGGAAGTGAGGGCGATTGTGAGGAGAGAGGAGCGTCCCACGTTCCAGAGCGGAGCACTGCAGGCGAGAGGAGAGGAGCACCATGCCCTGTCAGAGTGGACCACGGGAGGTGAGGAGAGAGGAGCACCCCACCTGTCAGAGGGGAGCACGGGAGGTGAGGAGAGAGGAGCGTCCCACATTCCAGAGTGGAGCACGGGAGGCGAGAGGGCCTGCACCGAGGGCTTGTGAGGGACTGCAAGGTGGGGAAACGTGGGCAAGCAGGGTGGGAAATGAGGGCGTGGAAGAGGGGGAAAGAGGGCGTGCAGAGGGGATGCGGAAGCACAGCCGTTGCAAGAGTGTGAGCAGGGGCCAAGGGCAATATTTGCGATCAGCGACGCGAACAGAGGCTGTCGCGAGACGCAGAGAGGCAGTGAGGAGACGGGAGGTGAAGCCCCTCACGCATCTTAGAGGGCACGCGTGGGGAGGCGAGAGGAGCACGCAAGATGGGGAGAGAGGAGCACGCGTGGGGGGGCGAGAGGAGCACACAAGGTGAGGTGAGAGGACCACGCGAGGGGAGGCGAGTGGAGCACGCGCAGGGAGGTGAGAGGAGGCTGCACGGGGAGGCAAGAGGGGCGGTAGAGGGGGGGTGAGAGGTGCACACGAGGGGAGGCGAGAGGAGTTCGCGCGGGGAGGCGAGAGAAGCACGCGTGAGGCGGCGAGAGGAGGATGCGCGAGGAGGTGAGAGGAGGCCGCGCGGGGAGGCAAGTGAAGCGCGCGCTATAAAGGCTCGCCTCTCATGCGAGGGGAGGCGAGAGGAGCACGCGCGGGATGGTGAGAGGAGGCCACGCGGGGAGGCGACAGAATCGCGCGCTATCAAGGCGAGAGGAGCACGCGAGGCCATGGCGAGCAGAGCACGCTGGCGATGGTGAGAGGAGGCCGCGCGGGGAGGCAAGAGGAGCGCGCGCGGGGAGGCGGGAAGATGCGGCGCTGGAGGCGAAAGGAGCGCGCGCGGGGAGGCGAGAGGAGCGCGCGCGGGGAGGCGAGAGAAGCGCGCGCGGGGAGGCTTGAGGAGCGCGCGCGGGGAGGCAAGAGGAGCGCGCGCGGGGAGGCGAGAGGAGCGCGCGCGGGGAGGCGAGAGGAGCGCGCGCCGTGAGGCGAGAGGAGCGCGGAGTGGTGTACGAAGCGTCGGAATGTGGCCCCACGACGTTGACAAGAAATCGACGAGAGGGGACCGGGGTAAGGGCGTTGGGAGGGCAAGGGCGACGGGGAAACGGGGGATGCGAGGGCGACGGTGCGTCAAGGGGGTGGACGATGTGAAGGGATAGCTAAATTACCTTTCACGGCACTAATTTCGACGTGGAAAAAGGACACGCTTCGCGCATGTCAAGCTTGGGATGAGGGCAAAGCAAGTGTTGCAACGGGGTTGAAGGTCCTGCCTATGCCACTGACAGAGCTTTGCGTTTCGCGTAATAGCCGCACAAGCATTCCTGAATTACCAAAAAAGGCAAACTGTGCACAGGCAGTTCCCTTCCTCCTCCAGGAAAGGGTGGTTGAAACTCTCGCCAAGCGGACGCGTTCTGCTCTACGACTCAGTGTTCTTGGGATGCGACGTTTTTTGGTTACCATCCTGGCTCGGGAGGTCAACTTTGGGTTCGGAAGGCAAAGTGTGCACAGTTTGCCTTTTTTTTTTTTGTAATTCAGGTCTTGGGCTTTAAATGAAGGAGAAGGGAGGTGGAGAATGAAAGGGAGGACGTGGAAAACTGCCTAAAAATCCCAAACGCGACACCCATAAAAAGCCCCATCAAAACACCCAGTCAGGACACACCCCATCCCGCACCCCATTTCACCCCCTCCCCCCCCCCCCCCCCCCCCCCCAGTCACATCTGCGTACCCCAACATAGTCCCACGGAATGTTGGGAGGTCTGCCTGGCCTTATCCCGCTGCCTGCCTGGCATCCCAATCCTTTGATTCTCAACATTGAGATGTTGGTGTGACGAGCCACACGTCCGCAACACAATGCGGCTCGCGATTAGCAAGCAGATAATAAAGGTTTGAGTCACGTTGGTAACTAGTGTTCCACGAAACTTGTTTTAAGGCACAGCAGGGAATCAGGCAGTGTGGGACAACTTCTGCGGTGTGTCTTGTCCCGAGCGACAGATTGATGCTCTACCATCAGGCGCTTATCAGCAGCACATCGGTGCTTATCATTGCACAGATGCATCACGCGGAATCAAATATGTACTGACATTGCATGCGTTGACGAAATCCCACACCCTGCGCTAATCGTGTCGGGTCAACTTCTCCTCTTTCTTCTTGGGGAAAGTTCCCCATTACGGAATTCCTCGTCACTGATTACAAAAATTCAAGAAAATGGAGCAGCCAATCGGTGTGCTTATGATAGGCGCTGGCGAGTACACCGTAGGTGAGGGAATATGTAAACTCTTCTGCCGATTTTCACCAACGAGATCATATCTGACTTCATTCCTGCTGTTGGTTGCTTCGTCAGGGTTTGTACCGACCAAGGAGGGAGCTGCGAGCGACAAGTCTGTAGGGTATGTGCAGGGAAGGGCCACGCTGGCAGTGTGGGGTTGAGGCGAGGGGATGGGGTGGGGGTGAGGTCAAGGTGACTGTCGACTCAAAAGTTTCAGGGTTTGTACCGACCAAGGAGGGAGCTGCGAGTGACAAGTCTGTGCTGGGAAGGTCCGTGCAGGCTGTGTGGCACTGAGGTGAGGGTAAGGGGATGAGGTAAAGGTCCGGTTGTGAAGTAAAAGCATGGCGCTGAGGTGAATGGCGGGGCAGACTGGAAGACGGGCCTTGAAAAGGTGCTCTTGCATGGAGGGGTTCCTGTTGCAAGGCGTCCGGGGTAGGTGCCGGGTTGGTCCTGACTCCTGTGTGGCATGTTGTTTTTGATAATTCTCAAAAGCAACCTGCAGGAGCAAGGCATCTGGGGTAGGTGCCGGTTTGGTCCTGACTGACTCCTGTGTGTGTGGCATGTTCATCCCGTTCCCCCAAATCCTTACCCACATCCCCCCAAAACACTATGCAGCGCCCACCATCACAATCCTATCCCATATCCCCCCGTCACCTCAACCCTGCAGAGTCATCGCCATCACATTGATGGACCTCCGCCGCCTGGGGAAGGTGCAGCGTGGGCGGGGGAGCCATGTGATGATGTGACGTATGTTTGACCACAATCCTATCCCATATCCCCCCGTCACCTCAACCCTGCAGAGTCATCGCCATCACATTGATGGACCTCCGCCGTCTGGGTAAAGTGCAGCGGCTGCTGCTGTGTGACCGCTCCGGGCGGCACTTCCCCGCGATAAGGGAGACGCTGCAGAGGAAGATTGCAGACGTGTACCGAGACATGGATGTGACTCTCGAGACTTATCCTCCAGGTATGGCTTTTGAGTCATAAGGCCTTCCCAGCCTTCAGATTGTCCCAGCCATCAGATCTTCCCAGCCATCAGATCTTCCCCGCCATCAGAGAGACGCTGCAGAGGAAGATTGCAGACGTGTACCGGGTCATGGATGTGACTCTCGAGACTTATGCTCCAGGTAGGCATGATTCTTGAGGTGCTTCAAAAGGAGATTTCCCTGTCATCAGATCTACCCCGCCTCACCATCAGAGAGACGCTGCAGAGGAAGATTGCAGACGTGTATCGAGTCATGGACGTGACTCTCGAGCGTTACCCTCCAGGTATGATTCTTGAGTTGAGAGTCCTCAAGAGTTGAAGATGATCACTCATTAGATCTTCCCCTTCATTAGAGAGCCACTGCAAAGAAAGATTGCAGACGTGTATCGAGACATGGATGAGGGATGACAGCCCCCTGAGGTAGCCACCTCTGCCTGTCCATGCGTCTGTGTGCATGTGTGTGTGTGTGTGTGTGTGTGTGTGTGGGTGGGTGTGGGTGGGTGTGTGTGTGCATTTGTGTGTGTGTGAAATGTGTGTGTGTGTGTGTGTGTGTGTGCAATGTGTGTATGCATCCATGTGCGTGTCTGTGCGTGCATGTGTACGGGTCAGACGATGTGCAGGAGGATGAGGCAGCATACCTAGCAGCAATGGCGCGCATGCATCCAGGAGACATGGTCACCATCTTCACTCCAGACAACACGCACTACCCCATCGCCCTCGCAGCTATTCAACACGGTGGGTAGTGAACCTCACACGTGTGAATCAAGGACAAGGCAGCATACCTAGAAGCCATGGCGTGCGCCGCTCATGCCGCCGGGAGACATGGTCACCGTCTTCACTCCAGACAACACGCACTACCCCATCGCCCTTGCCGCCATTCAGCATGGTGGGTCATGTGGTAGATTTCACAAGGCTGAACTCACCTCACTGCCACACGTGTTAGCTGGGTGCATTCATGTCAGCTGGGAGGTAGAGTCTAGACACAGTGAGGCGGGAGACATGGTCACCCGTCTTCACTCCAGACAGCACGCACCACCCCATCGCCCTTGCGGCCATCCAGCACGGTGGGTAGTGAATCCCACAAAGGGGAACACGGTGGGAGGTAGAGTCAGTGAGGCGGGAGACATGGTAGCCATCTTCACTCCAGACAACACACACCACCCCATTGCCCTCGCCGCCCATTCAACACGGTGGGTAGTATCTCGCACAAGGCCGAACTCACAAGCTATCCAGCACGGTTGGCACTAGCTTCAAAGGACGAGGCAGCACACCATCTTTGGGGTTGGAACTCGCAAATATGGCGTGCATGCAGCCAGGAGACATGGTCACCATCTTCACCCCATCGCCCTCACGGCAATTCAACACGGTAGCCTCACAACCCGTTTCCTCCATTTTCAGGTTTAACTCTGTGATAACACTGAGCATTGCTTCTGTCCTCTTTGTTTGATCTGGGCTCCGTTTTGCATCTCTTCCCGTCTCTGGTGTTTGTATCTCGCGCCCCATACCATCCTACTGCCTTCCCTTCCCGCCCCTCTCTCACATGCAGGGCTGCATGTGCTTGTAGCGAAGCCAGCAGTGAAGACCCTCCAACACCACCACCACCTCGTGCAAGCAGCAGAGTAAGCTTCTGTCGGCAAGCTGTTGATTCCCCTCAAAAGCACGGGTGGTGACAAGCTGTTGCAGGTAGCTGTTGACACAACTGAACAGTCATTGTCGTCACCACCTTGCGCTAACCGCCCAGGGAGCTGCCTCCCCATGCTCATAGGTCCTCCTCCACAGTAAGCGATTTTTTAGAATTCTTTAAAGGCTCGCGATAAACGCTCAGGAAGCTGCCTCCCCGTGCTCATAGGTCCTCCTCCACAGTTTTTAGAATTCTCGAAAAGCTCGCGATAACCGTGCAGGCAGCTGCCTCACTGTGCCCACAGGCCATCCTCCACAGTACCCCTTTCTTGCATTTCCACTCCTTGTTTGCTATATCTTTCAATATTCTGAGCCCATCAAGAATAGCCCTTTCCTTCCCCTCTCTGCCCCATTGCTTCCGTTCCTTCGTGCTCCACCTCCCACCGTATTGCCATATATCGCATGGTCTGCATTGCTTGGTGTGCGTTGCACGCAGAGAAAAGGGTGTGCTGGTGGCCGTTGAGTTTCACAAGCGGTTTGACCCCATCTACACAGGTACACGCCGTCCGGTTTGTGACGTGTTAAGTGTGTAGTTTTGAGACGTGTCGTTCTGGTAAAACATACACGCCGTCCGATTTGTGCTCATGCTCACGTGCTGGTGCTTCCGTGCAGTCCAGTCCCGTGCAGTCCAGAGCTCCAGTCCACGCTGGAGCTCCCGTGCTGGTGTACACGCCTTCCGTTTGTTGTGTTTCTCCGTGTTAGGGCGTATCCAGGTTCGGGTCATGAGCACTGTTCTGGCTACTGTTTGGGTCATGCGGAATTTGCGCATGACCCGAAGTGGGCTGCCGAGCCGCGCGCGGCCCCAGCTTTGGGTCAATGTGTAGGTGTTGTGCGACTGACGTGCACGACCCACCCACAGCCAATCACCTGGTTGCACGATTGTGGTGTTCCTGCCAACTTCTTGTCGATCGGCAGTCGAGTTTCACACGTGGGCAATTTCCCACGTCTGACACCTCTGCACCCAACCACTCGGCAATTTGACCCCGTGTGTGTCTAAAATTTCTCGCGTCGCGCTCCCAACGTTTGGGAATTCGCTCCGGGAATTTCGGGGGTTGTGTTTTCTCAGTGAGTGTCACGTGGTTTTGCGTGGGTCTCGCTAATGACCTTTCGAAATGTTCTGGCATCCCTCCATTGGATGCGACTGTTGTTGTGAGCTGGATTTTGGCGCGAAAACCCTCGCGGCAATATGGGGGTCGCATGACCCAAACATGCGTTCTATGTTGTTTGGGTCATCCGCAAATCGCGCATGCCCAGAACAGTGCTCATGACCCAAACCTGGATACGCCCTTACCCTTCATTTTATTTTCAACACGACTTTTCCCAGATTCCCATGTTTCAGACGCTCGCGGTCCCATCAGGACGCTCCGTTCCATGCCCTTTACCTTCTTCTCTTAAATCGAGCCACAAGTCTTTGTGTTTCCATGCTGCCCTGTCACAGACGCGCGCGACCGCATCAGGGGTCTGGGTCCTTTTGCCTTCTTCGCCAGCACCATGACTCAGCCAAAGAAGCAGCTGCACACGTTTGCAGGTGCGTTGTGTTTTTATATGAGTAGCATTTGCACACGCTGTGCCCACCTGAGCGGTGCGAATGTGCCCTTTGAGTCACCATAGAAGGGCCCTTCGCCTTCAGCTCCAGCACCATGACCCAGCCTAAGATGCAGCTGCACTGCACACGTTTGCAGGTGTGTCATGAGACACTAAAGAACACGACTGAGAAAGAAACAGAAACAGATGTCATTGCATTTGCATTTGCAGCTGCCCTTGATTTTTAGTTACCTTTACATTCCGTCTGTCATTCCTTTCGCTTCTTCCCCATCCCATTTCCCCTTTCCCACGGTATGCAGGCTGGGCTGGCAGGAGTTCAGACATCTCCTTCTACCTCAACTCGCACCACATTGGTGGGTGATTTAGGTTGCACGCCAGAAGATGCGTATACTTTGCACACCATACAATCTGAGTCGCTTTTATGCAATGCAGCACAAACTCTCAAAATCAGCTCAGCTCTGACGGGAGCTCAGACATCTCGTTTTACCTCAGCTCGCACCACATCGATAAGGTGTAGCCTGTGTAACGTGAGTTACACTTCACATACCAGGTACACGTTTCTCAATGCTTTGCACCTATGATCCAATGCAGCCCAAACGAACCTCCAAGCCACCCATGCCCTGCCCTGCACCTTGTTCCTCCCTCTGTTCTCTTCCCTTCCTCCAGGCCTCGGGACACAGGGATTCCACTCCCAACCGTTTCCTGAGAATTCTAAAAAGACAGACTCCCATTCTCCCTCTTGACTTTTGAGTCGACTCAAAAGTCAATTCTAAAAGAACAGACTCCCATTCTCCCTCTTGACTTTTGAGTCGACTCAAAAGTCAATTCTAAAAGAACAGACTCCCATTCTCCCTCTCAACCCCTGAACCCTTCACCCCCTTGCCCCTTCGTCCCCTCTACCCTTGTATCCCGCCTGCAGATTTCCACGCGTGGGCAGTGCAGGGGCAGTCGCGGCCAGTGGTGGTGGTGGCGAGTGCTGCGAGGGGGAAGGCCACCCAAGTGCTGCACGAGGCACGGGGAGATGCAGCTGCTGGGGCGGTGGATGTGGAGGATGCAATCACCCTCATGGTGAGCCGCTGGGGTGGGTGGATGTGGAGGATGCAATCACCTCATGGTGAGCCGCTGGGGGCTAACCCCTTTCCTCCATGCCTTTCTTTCCTATCGCGTCTGTGAGCCCATGCGGTGGAAGGCGAGGGAGCAAGGGGAGAGGCTGCTGGGCTGGTAGAAATGGACTGACATTTCTCAGTGAGCTGCACGCGTGTTGTAGGATCAAAATTCGACTAATCACACATGAAGAGAGCCTGCTGGGTTGGTAGAGACGGAGCTGGGCTGCAATCACTCACCCTCGTGGTGTGCAGCTGGGCTAAGCTTTTCTTTCTGGGATTCATTTGACTCTCTCTTTGCCTGTGGATTAGCCTTTCTTCCCAGTCTGCTGCGGTGTGTCTGTGGGTTGCCTCGGTGTCGCTGGTGAATCCCGTGTGCCCGTCTGTGTGCCCTTCTCGAGCTAATATTTGTTTCTTTGTAGCAATTACCTCTAACGCGTGAGAATGCGCGTTTGCACCGACCTCTGGCTCGTGCACTATTTGTTGTACTCGCTACAAGCAGGTTCAGTGGGAGAACAAGGGCGGCTCTTGTGGCACCGCAGTGTACACTGCAAGCTGGATTGCCCCTCCTTCTGACTGCCACACACAGCAGTACTTTCACTACATGGGCCACCAGGTATGGCAGATGTGCATTCAGTTAAAAAAGTATTATGTGTGGAACAGTAAATAAGATTCCGACCCGTTCTGACTGCCACACACAGCAGTACTTTCACCACATGGGCCACCAGGTATGGCAGGAGTGAGTGGCAAAGGCATTCGGTTCGGATGGGTTGTGTCTAGATTCTAGAATACTGTAGATTGCATCCCTTGTAACTGCCAGGCACGCACAGCAGTACTTTCGCTACATGGGCCACCAGATATGGCGTGAGCGTTCATGTGTGGAATATGCACTGCTCAATGCCATGGCAGGTGATTTCATCACCACATAGATGCATGTTTCTTTATGTGTGGCTGCCATCCTGCATATCCATGCATGCATGTACGCATGTATGCCCGTATGCATGTCTCATCGATGTATGTGTGCATGGTGACAGGGTGAGGTGCGAGTGGATCAGGCTCATAGAGGATTCACCATGTCAACTGATGCAGCTGGCTTTGCTACACTCAACCCACTGTACATGAAGGTATGTTAATCTAACGCTTTATCTTGTTTACCTGAAATACACACAACTGTTGTTGGTGTGCCACACGCACATCCTCGCTTCGCATCTTCCCACTCACCATGAACTTTTCTCCTGTTATATCTCCAAACTCGTCAGTACACTCCGGACGCAACAGGAAGATTCGCTGGCGAGTTGGGGTATGGTTACCGCAGCATTGCAGAATTTGTTAAGGCGGCCCAGTGCATAAATGTGAAGAAGTTAACTGTGGCAGATGTGGAGTCTAATGAGATGATTGCGACAATACGAAGTCCAGCATGCCTCTTAACCACAGCAATTCTAGAGGTATGCCAGCTTCAATATTTGCTTTTGCACATGCCTGTTTTTTTAGTTGACTGAAGTTCTTATTGTTGCTTCAACGTTGCTTTTTTGTGTGTCTTGTTCAGGCGGGAAGGAAAAGCCTGGACATGAATGGCGTTCCCGTGTCAATGGTATTTGACAAAGAGGGAAGGCCCACAACTCTGAGGCCGGCCTCTTCCTAGAGATTGGCATTCAACCCTGAAATGAATTTTGTGTGCTCAATCCATAGCGAGTTGGAAGTGTGATGTAAGGGCGTGTGAGGTCTTTGTAGAAGTTCAAAATAAAGTTCGAACTTTGGGTGGTTACCCTTTTCGCTAATTTCGCGAAGGGTGCTTCGCGAACCAAGCATTGGTAGGGCTCTGCAAAAGTTCGAGTTTGAAATATGAACTTGACTCGAGTCGGAGGCGGGAACGTGCGTGCGCACGTTCATACGAGCGTGTGTGATTTGCAGCACGTCCGAACAACTGGCGAAACGGGCGAGCGCTTCGCCAATGCATGAAGTTGCACAACGAAGTCACCCCACAATTCGTGCACACAGTGGTAGCCACGTGTCCAGCATCGTGGCATGTTCGAGCACGATGTGGCAACGTGTCATGTTGGGCGAATGACGAGTATACAAGGTGTTGCCACGGGGGCTATTTGTACCCTGGTTAAACACTCGGCGCGGAAGGTGAGTTGGAGCTCTAGGTCCTTGTAAACCGAGGCGCAAAATGTTGACGTGGCGCACTGTCAAGACTCTCGAACCGGGTAACCTATGATGTTGATGTGCGGCACGGCTCGTTTTTACAAGTTCGAATGTAGGGGTTCGACCTTGTATGTGTGTGTGATTTTTTACAGTGTGGTAAGCCCGATGTTCTAACTTCGATACATGGAAATTAGAACTTCTTTAGTTGTAAGTTCGAAACTAAAATTCTCCCTAAAAACATAAACTTTTACACGCCCTAAGCTCGCTCTTTCACGTCTAGGCTCTGTGCGGCATCGTGCGGCCAAGATAACATCGAAGCTTTCGCACTGTTCCCACAGATTGCGCTCGATCGTCCAAGTCTGTGGTTCCGTTGACAACAAACACAGAAGGCGTTTCGTGCAAGCAGTCGTCACCTGTCGTGAGGTTCGCATACTATATGCCCGGGTTACCCTCTGGACGCGTGCATCACATCACTTATCGCGTGCTTCCTTCCTCCGCGTCCCCGCTTCACGTTTTGCGAAGATTTGGCTTCCACCAATCAAATCCCAATGATCTGTTCTGTTGTGCGGGTTCTCTCCCCACACGTTTTTTCATTAGTCATTTCTTTTAGAACTTCCTTTTGTAGCACCTGTCAGGTGCTCTTGACAGTGAACTTCGCTTGTTAGTGTCTTAGTGCCAAGGCGTGAGATTACTGGTATTTTGATGCGGTTCATTAATATTTTCAATCGGCTGAATAAGGTATTGGGCGAGAGTAAACCCTCCCGCTGTCCTCTTGGATGGATGTGGTGCTCAGCTATGGCTGACTAGAAGTCATTTGTTATTCTTCCTTTATAGAGACTGACTGTCATGTCTTCGTAGTAATATCTCCCATTTTTGTTCGTTCGGCTGCTTTCTTGCTGATTGGATTTCTCGTTTTTCATAATCGTTTCTCTGGACGCTTTCCAATTTCAGATCCAGAGGAACTTCGACATTCGTCGCGTGAGGGAGTGACTGAAGCTTTTTAGAATCCTCACACGACGTGAGATACATTGACGGGCTTATCAACTCTCGTTCGTATCTTGCTTCAACCCTATAAGTCAGCAGAGCGCTGGCCAAATCTGGCTTGTAACGAGTCATGTAGAAATCCGCATTGGTGTAGGCTGGCATCCATAACCCATCACGTCAACGGCTACGATGCTTCATAAAGCAACTACCGCGATGTGGCCATCGTAGTTATTCTTACGACAGTGTTTCCGCGACGTCCTTATCACTCCTTGGATCTAACGAGGCCTCGACATGCATCCTAGGCTCAAGAGTCCAGGCATAAAGAATCCAGGCCTCAAGAATCTAGAATCTTAGCCATGCGCGTGCTTCATGAACACTCTAGCTCGATCCTCCCCGTCTAACTGCTCCTTCCGGTCATGGAATCGCCGCCTGTGACGCCGGAGGAGTCGCACATCGTCGCACACCGATCCTCCTCCTTCACCGCGCTGCGATCGCTCAACAAGACGTTGAAGGCGCAACGTTTCTCCGCGTCGAACGCGTCCCCCGCACCCACCAGGTCGTCCTCCATGAATAACGACAAACGAAGCCTGCCAGGAAAGAGGAAAGCAATGATGGTTCTCTTCCTGGCTGCCGTCTCGATCTCCACCATTTTCGTCGTCAAGGATCTCAGATTCTCTGGCCAGTCGCAACAAACCCAAGGTACTAGTATCAAGGATTGACCGACAGACTGGGGAATGTGACTGATTATCTAGCCAACTTCCGTTTTTGTTCCATTTGGCTTGTTCTTTGTTGCTTAGTTGCTGCCGATCGTAGGTTCGAAAAGAAGGCGAAGTTGTTAATGCTCTTGACGAGCTGCGATCCTTCGTTTCTTTTTCATCGTGGTTAACCATTCTCCCGTTCGTTACCCCGTTTGTTTTGCCGTTCGTTCGTCCGTGTTTCAGTGGAACCGACAAAGAGGGTCGGTGTGTTGGATGACACAGGCCCACTGATGGCCGTAGATTCGCCATCACCTGCACAAACCGACGGCGAGAATTCGTTGACAGGGACAGGTGCAGCGAATCCAGAATCCGGTATTGAAAGATTGCATTCCGCCGTCGACCAATCAAGCGCGCTGACGGATGGGAGTCAGAACGAGCAGCGGCCTTCGTTCCACAGTTCGGTTCAGAACGGTCTCGGCCAGTCTATACCTGCTGAGGAGCGGGAGGGAGAGCGGGAGGTTGCGCCTGATGCGTTGGGAGCGCAGGATGAGTTGGGGGGGGATAACGCTGCAAGCGGGGAGCAGGATGAGCGGAGGGGACAGGGTGCTTCGGGAGCGCAGGATGAGTTGGGGGGCCAGGCCGCTTTGGGGGTGACGGACGATTCGAGGGTGCAGAACGGTTTGGAAGGGCAGGGTACTTTGTTGGGGCAGGATTCAACGAAGGATGAGGGGGTTGAGGTCGAGACGGAGGCGCGAGTGTATGAATTACGGGAGAAGAAGAGGAAGAAGAAGAAGCGGAAGGAGAAGAAGCCGAAGAGAGAGAAGAGACCGAAGAAGAGCAGAAGAGGGATGGGAGTGCGCGCGCCTGCTCCTCCCCCGCCCCCCTCTCCGCCTCCGCCCCCTGCCCAGATCAACCCATTGGATCCTGTGCTTCCCCCGTCGCATCCCTGCGCCAATTTCACCCTCCCACCGCCTTCCACCGACAGGAAGCGCACTGGACCCAGACGTAAGTGCCTGGGGTAATCACTGGACTGTAGACGTGCGCGCCTGGGGTAGCCACTGGACGTAGACTTGAGTGCCTAGGGTAACCCCTGGATCCACACGCGAGCGCCTGAGGTAACCACTGGTCCAGACGAGAGTGCCTTGGCTTTGGTCTGTGCAGCCTCCTGTGGTCACTTCCTCTCTCACCATAACCATTTCTCCTCCTCACCCGCTCTCAGGCGCCCAAACCTCTACTCCACCCCCCTCACCCCTTTCGGGCCTTTCTTAGCCCCCACCGTCCTTCCACATTGCCTCCTTCCCCACTTCACCATTCAGCCTGTGCAGTGTGTTCCGTGATCCCCCCTCCCCCCTCCCCCCCTCAATGCTTTCTCCTCGCCCGTCCACCCGTGAGCAGCGTGCCCCGTGTGCTACCTGCCACTGCCCGTAGCTGACGTGCCTGTTGCAACCACGCCGCGCTCACTGCGTGCCTCCTCCCTGAAGCACGGAGGACCCGATATTGAAGACCCGATATTGAAGACCCGATATTGAAGTCCCGATATTGAAGACCCGATATTGAAGACCCGATATTGAAGACCAGATATTGAAGACCCGATATTGAAGACCCGATATTGAAGCACCTGGCGTATTGAAGCACCTGGCGTACTTTGAGACGTCTCAAAACACGTCACCCAGGACGACGTCAGTGAGCGGGCTGCCAGGCGCACACACACCCACCCACCCACACACCTGCCTATTTCCCTCCACAACCCTCCCTCCCCCAGCTTGGCCCGTGTGCTACCTGCCGTTACCAGACGCCATGGGCATGCGGCCCCCCCGCGGCCACACGGAGGAGCCGATTCTGAAGCACCTGGTGTACGTCACCGAGGACAACACCAGTGAGCGGGCTGCCAGGCGCACACAAAGAGCCCCATCTCCTCTTTATGGACCTGCCAGGACCCATCTAACTCTGAATTACCTGCCACACCCACATATCTGCCTCCTCCCCCTTTCCCCCGCCCCCCTTTCCCCAAACCAGCCTGCCCCGTGTGCTACCTGCCGCTACCAGACGCCATGGGCATGCGCCCTTCACGGGGCCACACGGAGGAGCCGATTCTGAAGCACCTGGCGTACGTCACCGAGGACGATGCCAGTGAGCGCGCCGCCAGGCGGGCGGGCAACCGGCCGCGGTTCAATGGGCACCAGTCGCTGCAGCAGCGGGAGGACTCGTTTAAGATCCAAGAGAGCATGCGCGTGCACTGCGGGTGAGAGGGAAAAGGGGCGCTAGTGGGCAAATGGTGAAGGGAGAAGGGGCAGGGAGGGATGGAAGAAGGGAAAATAGTCGGGAGAATGAGTCAAGTCAGTCCACAGTTACTCTCTGGCCGCGGTTCAACTTGCATCGGTCGCTGCGGTAAGATCCAAATTTTGAGACATGTCAACGCAATCCGCCAGTCAAGAATCCTTCAGTCGAGGGATCATCACTCCCGGCAAGGTGGGCAACGGCACGATGATCCTTTTTCTCGTGCCCACCTTGCCGTGGGCTTTGTCGTGGGCAACGGCAAGGTGGGCAGCGGCACGGGCTTTGTTGTGCCGGACTGCTTTGCAATGGACCATACAATGATCTTTTTTTCTTTCCTCGCTTCCTCTCCTCTCTCCACCACACCTCCCCTCTCCCCCTCACCCTTACCCCACTCCTACTCAGCTTTGTCTGGGGCGGCAAGGTGGGCAACGGCACGGGATTTGACGTGTCGGACGATGACAGGCGGTTCATGGAGCGCTGCTATGACATTGTGGTCGTATCGGCTATCTTTGGTGAGAGAGTGTTGTAAGAGAGAGGCATGGTGCTGTCTGTGTGCTGTGCTGTACGTGGTGAGTGATGATCGGCGGTTCATGGAGCGCTGCTATGATAATGTGGTGGTCTCCGCCATTTTCAGTGAGGGCCTTGGGAATTGTAGCTAGGGAAATGTAGCTTGGGAGTTGTAGCTTGGGAGTTGTAGCTTGGGAGTTGTAGCTTGGGAGTTGTAGCTTGGGAGTTGGCACATGTGGCACATGAGAGTGTGGTCACTGGTGGTCTGTGTGTTGTGCATGGTGAGTGAGAGCAGGCGGCTCATGGAGCGCTGCTACGGTACGTCATCGTGGTCGTTTCCGCCATCTCTGGTGAGAGAGTGTTGTGTGGCATGGTGTAGGCTCTGTGCTGTGCGGTGTTTTGCTGTGCTGTGCTGTGCTGTGCTGTGCTGTGCTGTGCTGTGCTGTGCTGTGCTGTGTTTTGCTGTGCTGTGTTTTGCTGTGCTGTGCTGTGCTGTGCGGTGTTTTGCTGTGCTGTGCTGGGCTGTGCGGTGTTTTGCCGTGCTGTGCTGCGCTGTGCTGTGCTGTGCTGTGCTGTGCTGTGCTGTGCTGTGCTGTGCTGTGCTGTGCTGTGCTGTGCTGTGTTTTGCTGTGCTGTGTTTTGCTGTGCTGTGCTGTGCTGTGCGGTGTTTTGCTGTGCTGTGCTGGGCTGTGCAGTGTTTTGCTGTGCTGTGCTGCGCTGTGCTGTGCTGTGCTGTGCTGTGCTATGCTGTGCTGTGCTGTGCTATGCTGTGCTGTGCTCTGCGGTGCTATGCAGTGCTGTGCTGTGCTGTGCTGTGCTGTGCTGTGCTGTGCTGTGCTGTGTGAGTGAGAGTAGGCGATTTGTTGAACGCGCTGCTAGTCACGACATTGTGGTCATTTATGCCGTCTTTGGTGCAGGCCTTGAGATGCTGTGTGTGGCAGCCACACTCTGACCTGCACTCACTCGCTCTCCCACAGTTCCCTGCCCAGGCTCCCCCTTCCTCCAGCCCACCAGGAGCATACGACGTGGTGCAGCAGCCGAGCAATGCGAGCGACGAGGCGAGGCAGCAGCTGTGGTTTGTATTGTTTGTGGATTAGACGACCTTCACTGAGCTCATTTTACCACCCTCTTGTCCGCTTGCTCTCCCACGTGCCCCTGAGCTTCCTCTCCCCAACCAGGCGGATAGAACCTGTTGCAGCACCCGAGCACTGCACGCCACACTCTGGCCTGCTCTCTCATGCTCCCCCACATGCCCATGTCCACACTCCCTCTCCCTCCCACCAGGCGCGTATGATGTGGTGCAGCAACCAAGTAACATCAGCGAGGAGGCGAGGCAGCAGCTGTGCTTCGTGATGTTCATGGATGAGACGACCTTCAACGAGTTCATCTGCCTCCCACGTGTTCGTGCTTCCTCTCCCCAACCAGGCGCCTACGACGTGGTACAACAGCCAAGCAACATCAGCGAGGAGGCAAGGCAGCAGCTGTGCTTCGTGATGTTTGTGGATGAGACGACCTTCAACGAGTTCATTCGAGACGGCACTCTCAAGCAGCCGCGCACCCGCAGAGTGGGGCTGTGGCGCCTCGTGGTCGTGCATAACCCTCCGTACAGGGACCCTCGGCGCACGGGCAAGGTGGGTGTGGTGATGGGTCTGGTGGTGGTGGAGGCAAGGGTTTTATCCGCAACGGCACTCTCAAGCAGCCGCGCACGCGGCGAGTGGGCTTGTGGCGCCTCGTGGTCTTGCACGACCCGCCCTATAGGGACCCGAGATGGACCGGCAAGGTGAGGGCGAGTTTTGGGTAGGGACATGGTGATGGTAGAGTGAAGGAGCAGTTGAGCAGAGAGAGCAGAAGAGCAGTGCAAGGGGCTGTGATTGCTTCGTGATGTTTTTGGACGACACGACCTGCAGTTGTTAAGACGTCTCAAACGGACCACACCACCTTCACCGAATTCATCCGCGACGGCGCCCTCAAGCAGCCCCGCACCCGCTGCGTGGGGCTGCTGTGGCGCCTGGTGGTGGTGCACAACCCTCCCTACAGGGACCCCAAGCGCATGGGCAAGGTGAGAAGAGGGCGAGTTATAGGATGGGAGTACAGTGATGGTAGAGTGAAGGAGCAGTTGAGTAGAGAGAGCAGAGGAGCAGTTACTCAGAGAGAGAGAGAGCGTGTGGCTGTGCTTCGTGATGTTTGTCGACCACTTCACCTTCACTGAGTTCATAAGGGATGGCACTCTCAAGCAGCCGCACACCTGTCGCGTGGGGCTGTGGCGGCTGGTGGTGGTGCATAACCTTCCTTACAGGGCCCCCCGGCGCACACGCAAGGTAAGAGTAAGCATCTGATCTGATAGGAGGTAAGAGCGTATGCATGGAGGATGGTGCTATGGCGGCCGGTGGTTGTGCAAAGGAGGATGCATGTAGCACTCTTAGGTTCCTCTAAGATAATCAGAAGTCAACAAGACTCAGAAGACACTCGTTGGCGGAATATTTCCATTAGTGTCTTCCTTGAATAAAACCCACCATGGGCTTGGGGTATGGCGTATGAGAACGCAACACTTAATTTGGAAATTTGTGTTACAGTTGGGAGCTGTGCGAGTTCTGCTTGAAGCACTTCAGAGCAAGGTCCCTGGGTGCGAAAAAACGGCTGCAAGGAACCTTGACAATCTATCGTTATTTAAGAACCTTAAAAAATATTGATAGATTGTGAAGGGTCCTTGCAGCCGGTTTTTTTGCACCCAAGGACCTTGTTCTGAAGTGCTTCAAGCAGCACTCGCACAGCTCCCACCTGTAACACAAATGTCCAACAACTACTGCCTCCAACAACTACTGCCTCCAACAACTCCTCCTCCAACAACTACTGCCTCCAACAACTACTGCCTCCAACAACTCCTGCCTCCAACAACTACTGCCTCCAACAACTCCTCCAACAACTCCTGCCTCCAACAACTCCTCCTCCAACAACTCCTGCCTCCAACAACTCCTCCAACAACTCCTGCCTCCAACAACTCCTTATCCTCCCCATGGATCTTCTGTATTCACCGAATCCCCACTCCCCCGTCCCCTCTCCCTTTACACCATGCAGATCCCCATGCTGCTCATTCACCACCTCTTCCCCAACGTGCAGTTCTTCATGTGGGTGGACGCCAGGCCTGCTTCTAATTGCTCCATACCCCCCCCCCCCCCTCTATGCCTCCATCTGTGCACTTCCCTCCCTTTCTCTTTTACGAATTCGCAGATTCCCAAGCTGTTGATTCACCGCCTCTTCCCCAACGTGCAGTTCTCCATGTGGGTGGATGCCAAGCTGCAGCTCGTGCAAGACCCCTACATGATCCTCGAGAGGTGCGGTGCTGTGCGGTACAGTGTGGGACTATGGTGTGGTATGGTGCTGTGTGTTATGGTGCGATATGGTGTGGTATGGTGCGATGTGGTGCTGTATGGTCATCTGTGGGCGATTTCGAGGTGCTACAGGTGGTTTGACACGTGTTTGTGGAGGCAGAGGCCACCTGTCACCACCCACTCGCACCCGTCTCCACCCATACCCACCCCATGCACCCATGCATCCATTCATACGCCCTCAGGTTCCTGGGGCGGGGCAACTCTCCTGGGCCATCTCGAAGCACTACAAGTGCTGTGACATGTTTGTGGAGGCGGAGGCCGACAAGGCCCATGCACCCACTTCCATCCATCCCCACCCATCACCAACCCTGCACACTCCTTCCACACCTTCAGGTTTCTGTGGCGGGGCAACTTCTCCTGGGCAATCTGGAAGCACTACAAGCGGTTTGACGTGTTTGTGGAGGCGGAGGCCAACAAGGCTCATGCACTCACTCCTACCCATCTCCATTCATCTCCACCCATTACCGCCCCTGCACACTCCCTCCCACACCTTCAGGTTTCTGTGGCGGGGCAACTTCTCGTGGGCAATATCGAAGCACTACAAGCGGTTTGACGTGTTTGTGGAGGCGGAGGCGAACAAGGCGGCGGGGAAGTACCGCAACGCGAGCATTGACGAGCAGATGAAGGTTTACCGCAGCGATGGCATGACTCCTTTTTCAGAGGACAAGATGCCGATTATTAGCGGTGGGTGCTTGCTTGGCCGTGCTGGTGGGTGTCCTGAGTCCCTATATCCCCTACCATCCAGCCCTCCATCCATACAACCCAACACAGATGTACCCGAGGGGTGCGTGATAATGCGCGAGCACACAGCTCTCAGCAATCTCATGGCATGCCTCTGGTTCAACGAGGTGGACCGATTGACTTGTGTTTTCCTCTACCATCCCACCATGCTCAAAACCCAGCATAGACGTGCTGGATGGGTGTGCGATCTTGAGCGCTGAGCAACGTGCCGAACCTCAAACCCTGCGCTTCTCCCCCCTACCATCCACATTTCACGGCACAGTCGTGCCCGAGGGGTGTGTGATCATGCGCGAGCACACGGCGCTCAGCAACCTCATGGCGTGCCTCTGGTTCAACGAGGCGGACCGATTCACGTCCCGCGACCAGCTGAGCGTATGTTCATGAGCCACCTGTCATCTCCCCATCCACACAACCCCAACCAGACGTGCCCGAGGGGTGTGTGATCATGCGCGAGCACACGGCTCTCAGCAATCTCATGGCGTGCCTCTGGTTCAACGAGGTTGATCGCTTCACGTCCCGCGACCAGCTGAGTTTCGGGTACACGAGGGACAAGATCTGTCGCAGCGTGCCTGCCTGGCGCCTCAACATGTTCCTCGACTGCGAGCGCCGCAACTTTGTCGTTCAGGTGGGTGCTCTGCGGTGCAGGTCGGTGCTTTTGGTGCAGATCAATGCTTTGTGGTTGAGGTCATTCCTCCTGCTCACTCCTCTTCTTTGCTTGTCGCTCTCTCACATACAGTCGCGCGTTGCCTCACAATCACAAGGACGTGCTGATTCAGAAGCTTAATGGCTTCTCCTGCTCGCTTCCCTTCACGTTTTCCTTGTGGTGCTGCCCTCCCTCCCTCCCCCTCCCCCGCCTCCCCACCTCCCCACCCTCCCCTCCCCTCCCCTCCCCTCCCCTGCCCTCCCCTCCCCGCCCCTCCTCTCTACAGGGCTATCACAAGGACGTGCTATTTCAGAAGCTCAATGGCTCCTCCACCTTTTCTCCTCGCTGCTGCTCATCGTAGCTTGTCATACCACCCCTCTTCCCCTCCTCCCCCCTTCCCCCCCCTTTCAGGGCTATCACAAGGATGTGCTGATTCAGAAGCTCAATGGATCATCCACTGCTCCTGCTCTCGTTCTCCCCACCACCTCAGCCACACCTGCTTTAACAGCTGCTGCTGCTGCTGACGGCGCTGGTGCTGGTGCTGGTGCTAGTGGTTCCTTTGCTGCGGCGTCTGGTGCTGCGGCTGACTCTGACCCTAATTCTGCTGCTGCCACTGGTGATGTGTTTTTGAGAGAGGAGCAGAGGCAGGAAGGTTACAGGGAGCAGCTGCAGCAGCAGGAAGGGCAACACCTAAATGAGGGGGAGAAGGTGGAGGAGGGGGAGGAGGACAGCGAGGAGCAGGAACAGGAAAGAAGCAAAATTGAAAGAAGGCTATTGGGGTGCGGAGAGGAGGGGGGTTGGGAACGGGAGGGCAGGAAGAGCAGGAGGAAGCGTGACTTGGGAGCCAGAGATATTCGATGGGATGAAGAGTGGAAGGATGTAGATTTAGTGAGTGGGTTGCAAGGGGAAGGGAATGGACTAACACGAGAAACTAGCGCGTAGAGCTGAGACTTTTGGCTTGAAGAACTGGCTGAGACTAACATGTTGATCCAAAACTCCAAGGATTGCTTCTTGTTTTGGACTGCATTAAAGGGAGTGAGATTAGGGATTACTTACGCATGCAATGTTGAAACAGCTACGGTAGGAAAATGAAGTATTGGGAAAAGAACCTGAAATAATGAGAGGATGGCATATGCGATCAACTAATGTAGCAATTGTATACGTTCATGTTTTGACTCTATCAAGTTGTTACGGGTGCAATGAATCGAAGTAGCGAGAATTGCACTAAGGTGTCAAAACGAGTACCAAATGTGAGCGAAGGCATGAGCGAACATTTATACGCGAAAACATGCAAACGGTAACGCGGTGCGTGCGAGCTAGCCAGTGCTACGCTGGAAGCGAGGCTCGGGCTAGTCCCGAAGCGTAGGCCGACACGGCCGGTCCAGCAGTGCGAGGTTTGGGAAAACAATTCGCGCGAGGTCGGCGAGGTCCAACAATGGCTGCTGCTGTCCGCGATGTTGCAGGGCGCGCTAAGGAATATCGAGAAAATTCCTTACACTCAGGGCTGATTTTATCAGGGTAATTACCCTGATTTCAGGGTGATTTCAGACTTTCCACTTTGCAGAGACTGAGATTTCAGAATTACCGAGTTCTCAACCCTGTTCAAATCAGAGTAGTAGTTTTCCTATCCCTGATTTTGAGTATAGTGTAACAGACTAGCCTCTTAGTGGACCCTTCCTTCATAGGGTATCGAATCTGTGGTCCCTGATTTTGACCTTATCGAGAGGAAGGCTCTTGGAAATTTCCTTCCGATATCCCCCTTCGGTTTGATCGCATTACAGCCAGCGCGTGAGCGATGGACAGCAGCATGTCTGACAGGCAGTTACACTCGATGTTCGTTGTTTTCACAATACGCGAATAAGTTGTTCCACTGTAGAAAGTGCGTGTGCGTAAAGTTTCCAGAACCTATTTTGCGTTTCGCACAGCGATGTTGGCCACATTCAGGTATCGAATCGAAAGTTTGGTTGAGCGAAATCGCTCATCTCTTCCCCCAACTAAAACGTGTGCATAAATACCATTTCGTAACACTAACAGGGTGAAAATTAGCGCGCTCAAAGTGTGCGCGAAACACAGTGCGCAAACTTTACGCAGAGGGAGACTTTTTCCCCGGTAACAAAGGGCGCGTTACTACTCTGATCCTCGATTTTCGACCCTGAACAATCAGAGTTTTATACTTTTCAACCCTAAGCAATCAGAGTAGCATTATTCTGAAAAATGTGCACTCATAATAGAGGGGAAATTTTTTCCCCGGAATCAGGGAGGCCTAATATGAAACGACAGCCCTGCTTACACTACCCCCCCCTTCAAGAAGCCCCCTCCGCTACGCGAGTGCGTGTATATCGCGGATACCCCGGCTCCTCAGGTACACTTGTAGGGCAGGGTGGTTTTCGATGATGGCCAGGGGCACCCTGCTATCCTCAGTTGGCGTGTGATCCTTCCAGCGAACGAGGAATTCAATCATCCTGATTCCCGTGAGGTGTCGAAACCGATGGTTGAGGATTTTTCCGGGCTCGATGATTGGCTCCGATGCAGGGCGAGTCATGGATGGCGGGCGGTGACGAGACAGTTGGCTTGTGGTTGGGATGTAGGGTCGAAGTAGGCTGACGTGGAATGAAGGGCTGATGTACCAGTCCATCGGTAACAGTAGGTGGGCAGTCACTGGGGTAATCATGTGGCTGATTTGGAATGGTCCACAGTAGCGGGGTCTCAATTTCGGTACGACGGGCAGTCTTAAGTTTTGTGTGTCGAGCAGTACGTAATCTCCTGACTGGTACGTGACTTGGCGGCGGTGGCGGTCAGCGTTGCGCTTAGCGATGGCGTTGGCTTTTTTAATTGCCTCTGCGGCTCTGGTGCAGACAGCTTGCAGAATTTCGACGAATTGATGTGCACGTGGTGTTAGGTTGTCCGGACTTGGCGTCATGGGCACTGTAGGGTTTTGCCCGCAGTTCAGGTAGAACAGGGACTGCTGCGTCGTCGCTGACGTGGCGTTGTTATACGCGAACTCGATCAGCGGCAGCTGCTGCTCCCAAGTGGTCGGGTCGTCGCACGTGGCACGAATCAACTGCTCCATCGTCTGATTCGTCCGCTCCGTTTGACCGTCTGTCTCGGAGTGGAACGACGAGCTGAGCTGTAGCCTTGTCCTGAACTGCTCCCAGAGGTTCTTCCAGAAGTTGCTGGTGAACTTCGTGTCGCGGTCGCTGATTATCGCGGCTGGTATCCCGTGTAGTCGAACGACGGCTGCGATGAACAGGCGAGCGGTTTCTTCGGCTGAGATTGATTTCTTGCACGCAGGGAAGTGTGCCATCTTCGTCAACTTGTCAACGACGACCATAACTGCGTCGTTACCCCCAGGGTTAGAAGGTAACCCTGTGACGAAATACATGGTAACCTGCTGCCAGGCGCGCTCAGGCGGTGGAATCGGCTGCAACTAACCCGCCTTTCTTTTTCGCGAGCTCTTCATCACCTGACACGTAGGACACGAGCCCACGTGGAGCTGTACGTCGGTCAACAGCTCCGGCCAGTAGTAATACCGCTGCAGTTGCTGTCGCGTTTTTTCTACCTTGAAAATTCCCGAGATAATCCCGTCGTGTGCCTCCTGCAGTAACAGTTCCCTCAGTAGTGAGTACGCGGGTACCCAGATGTGGTTGGTGCCTGTTTTTACGTAATAGACTCCTTTGGCCTCTGCCAGTTGCTGTGAATTTCCGGTTGTGAAAAACGGGTCGGTACTGTATTCGTGGGTGAATAGACGTGTTAATAGTGGTGGGTTGGTATGGGCGAGTAGGATGGCGTGGAGTTGGGCGGTGGGGCGTGTGAGTGCGTCGGCGATGTTGGATGCGCCTTTTTTGTACGTGACTCTATAGTGGAAATTGGACTCCAGATAGTCCAACCAGCGGATCTGTCGTGGGTTGAGATTCGGTTGGGCACGAAGGTACTGTAGTGATTCGGTGATCTGTCCGTACTGTCACGTCTGCTCTCGTGAGTTAACATCGCCACACCTTGAACGCGTGCACGATTCGCAGCATTTCGCGGTCGTGTATCGGATAGTTGCGCTCGGGCGGGTGAAGCTTGCGGGACTCATACGCGATTGGCTGGAGGCCGTTCCCGAAGTCTTGCAACAGTACTGCTCCCACGGCGATGTCGCTTGCGTCGGTGACGAGTTCGAACGGACGGTGCGGATCTGCGATATGAAGTACGGGCGGTGAGCACAAAATGTTTTTGGGGGCCGAGAAGGCTGCTTGCTCTTTCTCCCCCCACGTGTACTCAACCCCCTTCCTCAGCAGGTCGGTCAACGGGGAAGTCAGCTTCGCCATGTCGGGGACAAACCGGCGCACGTAGTTGACGAACCCCAAAAAACTCTGCAACTCGGTCAAGTTGGTCGGCGCGTGCCATGCTTGAATCGTCGCGATTTTTTTCGGGTCTATTTCCACTCCTGCAGCTGAAATAACTTGTCCTAAAAACTCCAGTCGGTCCTGTAAAAACTCACACTTAGACGCTTTTGTCAGTAGGCGGTTCTCACTCAGTATCTTAAAGACTGCTTCGATGTCCTGTAAGTGCTGTGCTCTGTCGGGGCTATAAATCAGGATGTCGTCCAGGTATACGATGACGCACTTATCTAAAAGCGGGCGGAAGGCTTTGTTCATGGTCATTTGAAAAGTGGCGGGGGCGTTGGTAAGTCCGAAGGGCATGACGGTGTATTCGAAGGATTCGTAGCGTGTTCGGAAGGCTGTCTTAGGGCAGTCGGGTGGGTTAACGCGAATCTGGTGGTAACCTCCTCGAAGGTCGATTTTCGAGAAAACCAGGGCTGTGCGCAGCTGGTCGATCAATTCGCCGGCTCGCGGGATGGGGTAACAGGATTTTATGGTAACCCTGTTCAATGCTCTGTAGTCTATGCACATGCGAAAACCCCCGTCTTTTCTTGGTGTGAACAGTATTCGTGCTGCGAAGGGCGACGAACTAGGGCGAATGAATTCCTTCTCGAGCAGGTAATCCAACTGCTTCCTTAGTTCGTCCAGTTCGGGTTGGGTCAGTCGGAACTGTCGCTGTACTATCGGCTGTGCCCCCGGTTCTAGTTCTATCCTGTGGTCGTGCGGTCGCTGAGGTGGCAGTCCCGTCGGAAGGTCGTCCGGGAAACTGTCACTATACTGCTTCAACAGTGCTGCCAGATCACTCTGTACGTCGGCTAGCAGTTTCCGTAAATCCCCTCCTTTGTCTGCTACCTCGGCTTCCCGAATATCAACCGCGTACACGTCACCTCCTGCTGCTACGGCGCGTTTCATTGTGATCGCGTTGCCACGCACCGACGAAGACTCTATCAGATTTATATGACATAGCTACTGTAGGCTATAGTGGGGTAGCACATATGGGGTACAGCTTTCTAGGGTTTGTACTTGTACCCAACTTTCCCTAAGTCATTCCATTCTCGTTCAATTCCACATGGTATAGAGCAGGTTCCCCTGTGGGAACTGTTCCTAGGGCCCACCGTTTTTTTTTCCTGCCCAGAGCGCGCTCAGCCTATGCCCGAGTCGTGCTCCCCTCTCACGACCCCGTCGCGCCGCCCTTACTAACGAGAAGTGAGAATGGAATGAATGAACTATGAAAAAGTTGGGTACAAGTACTAACCCTAATTGGGTTGTACCCCTTATGGGCTACCCCACTATAGCCTACACAAATGTATAAGCTATAATGTTCTGACACACCCCCATAGGCAAAGTGGGGGAGAACAAGTGGTCACAAGACCAGTCAAGCAAAGCAAAGCAAAGCAAAGCAAGCTCAGGGTGGATCACAAAGTCACCACACAGTCCAAGCACAAGAGTAAGGCCACAAGGCCAGTTCGCATGCAAGGTCATATATATAAAGGTAAAACAAGCAAGGGCAGGTATAGAAAGAAGACAGTACAAACAAGATCAAGAAGTGAGCAAGTGAGGCCAGGTAGGCACAAGACCTAGCACAGTACAGAAGCGCTGATGATCACAAGGCAGAAGGGCCTTGGTGAAGATATCAGCAGTGTTGGCCTCAGAGGCCACGTAGGTGAGGCGGAGCTGACCACGCTGCTACAGCTCACGAGACATGA